CCGGTCTTGAATGTGCTCTGAAACACGTCTTGCCCAGGCTTTGTTGCAACATTCAAATAGGTTATTTTCTTATATGAACTATAGAAACAAGATGTGTTGTGGTATACCCGCCCTAATCAATGGGACCGAAAATGACTGTTTGATCCAGGACGATGGGGAAAAGTGTAGGCCATGGTTGGATATTTTGCTGAAGTCTTCACTCAGAAATCTTCTATGGGCACTTATCCGACGGTAGAAGCATTGACATCCAACAGAATAAACTCTGTGGATATCGACAACAATGATGTATTTCGGATGTTAAGTAATCTCGAAGTGGAAGCATCAACGGGACGGGACGAACTGCACCCAAGGCCGCTCGGAGAGCTTGCACTGTATGTAGCCGGCCCTTTGACTGCTACATTCAGACTCCCTCAGTGAAGGCATACTCCCCTATGGCTGGAAGGGTCCCATAGTAACACCTATCCACAAGACAGGTTCCAGGCAGCCCCCATCAAATTACAGACCAATAAGTTTGGCTAATACTGTAGCGAAGATCCTAGAAAGAGCAACCAAGAAAGCCATCATAGTCCACCTAGGGAGCAACACTCTACTGTCTCGTTGGCAGCATGATTTTCCCAGAAAGTTCTCTTGCTTGAGAATCGCCTTACAGCCAGAGAAACTTGGGCTAAGTCTAAAGATGATAGGATACCTGTAGATGTCATTTTCATAGACTTCAATAAGGCGTTGAACAAGGTACCTCATTCTAGGTCGCTCGGGAAACTGAGAAGTTTTGGAATCACTGGTAGTCTGCTCGCATGGACAGGAGACTTTCTTGTTGGTAGGGGACAAAGAGTAAGGATCAATTTCCAACCCTCCACCTGGAAGTCAATGGAGAGCGGAGTGCCGCATGGCACAGTCCTGGGCCCCCTGTGGTTTCTTCTATATGTAAATGAGCTGACAAATATCACGTAATCCCCTATGGTTCTCTGCACTAATGTAAAAATCTGGCGGGAAATCAGGAGCACTAGGGATGTGCGTGTGGTTCAGGCAGACCCGAACAGCACGTTCACCTGGTCATAGAAGTTGCTGATGCCTATCAATGCAGGTAAATGTGTGGGGACCCATATGGGGCATGCACATACAGCAACACCTACTATATTGACGGGACTCATTTGCCGTCAGTGGTGACCCATAATGACCCGGGAGTCAAAGTAAGTTATGACTTGAAAACCACGGCTCAGTGTCGACTGGTAGAAGCTCGGAGTTTTCGGACTCTCTGGGCGTTGCGTAGGACGTTTACAAAAATAAGTGGTGACATGTTTACCATCTTGTGTACATCCTTATTTAGGTCTATCAGAGGAGCGGCCTGTAGGTTCTTACCAACATCTCCCAGGGTAAGAAAGGTGACCTGATAAAGGCATATTTTATCCTAAGCACTTCTACAGACCTTCGTCACTTTTTCGACCTTCATCGTAACACAGAACTTGGGCAACACAAAAATGCATTGGACCTCAAATATAACAAGTCAGCTAATGGCTGCACCGTTCGTACCATAAAAGTCACTTGAAGAAGGAACAACTGCTAAGAAAGTAGAGGTTGTACTTTGGATTCCGACTTGATGTATACTCATGGGCTGGGTGTCAGTCGAATCGAAATGAACTTGCCAATACAGCCTAATCATAATTTTGGCCTTGTAGTGGAAGCATTTATCTACAATAATTTGCTTAAAGTTCCAGAATGTTTACCAATGGTATTAGCCCTCATCGTTGAAACCGATTAGTCAGGCCAAAAATGCGCTGACAAGCATTACCACGATCAGCGAATTGTTGGGGAATGGTGCCTTACAAGTTCATGGCCCAATAACCGGCCCGTTCACCTCTCCTACACTGTTGCCACGGTTGTACAACCATAAGATTCACTCTTGACCGACCAGATGTATTGTTTTTGATCACACGGTCACTCATTTTCAGAAAACAGAAAGAATTTTTGGTGGGACCCTACATCTATTTACACTGTATGATAGCTACAAAATCTACATTTGTTTTGTGAAAATGCCATAAAGAAGCAGTGGTTTATGGCTTCTAGGTATGAGGGATTTTCAGAACAAGCTTCTTTATGAATCAACCATCCGAAGACATTTGAGGTGGACAGCCAATGGTAGGAGACTTTGACTCCTCACCACACCGGGCGGTTATTGACCTTTCAGTTAACGCATTCAAGGGAAACTTCGAACAGTGCATATTTACCTGCATTTGGGGTTGGCATAGGGCGACTGGTCCGCTGTTTTTATTGTTGAGGCTTGAGGACATATAGCATGCAACTGATGGATGTAGTAGCCCTTGTTTCGCCCCCTTATTAAAAAACTTGTCAAAGACGGCTCTTAAAAGGCTGACAACAAACCCCGAACTCAACTTGCTTTTTGGATTCGCAGCCTTTGTAGTATGCGTGGCCTGAGCTCCAGCATGCCACAGTTACGGTTATCTTTGATGAGGATACCCCTAGCATAATGGCTGTCCGTTAAACCTGGCTCACAGAGAACGTAAAAGAAATCTCACGACATCTCAGCCTAATCGAGTAGGACGGATAGGAAGGTCTAAAGGTGGCATTGCTCTCTACACCTGTCCTTCCTCGAAAACCCATGATATGCAGTCCGATAGAACTGGCATTAAAGATGTAATCTGGCGTGGCATTAAGTGCTGTAGGAGTCTCTGTTTGTCCGCAGTCTTACACCACCCTCCTGGAGCCACTGCCAAGTTAAATAAAATGTTCTATTCTGGGCTCACCACTCTTTCTTACCTTTATCAATGAACTAACAGGATTCTTCAATCTTCGTTCACAATTATGTGTCGATGATCTGAGGATTTAGAGGAAAGTACAGGTGCCGAGGGATAACGAAAACCCTTGATTAAACCACAGAAAACCTGCTTCCTCTCAACTCGAAGAAGTGTGGGATAATGATGGCTGACTAATACAAAGGCAGCCCCAGCTCTTGCTCTTTGGTTGAAATAAATATCCATCGCTGCAACATGGAACAAGATCTGGGAGTTACATTGGGCGACATACCGGAAGCCTCACTCCTCTGTCACCTTGCAGTCAACTTAACTGCTTAGTGGAAGTAATACCTGTTCTGTGACACCAAGAGTTATTGAACTGATCCCAGTCTTTCGCGGCTTCTGGAACATCTTCGTGACTAACTCACCTATGGGTTGGGATTCGTCGAGCGATGAACCGTCTAAACTTTCCCAACAGTTATAGTAACCGAGATATCCTGAAGAATTGAGTAAACCAGAGACCAGTTTCCTTAGTGGCTCTGAACGCGACTTGCCTGCAGTAGTTCCACACTACATGTTTCTTGGTACGCTGTATCAAGTAACCCTTCGCACTGAAAGTTACTATGCATCAAATACTCTCGTCGAATGATGCTGTCTACGCTAATAGGAAAGTTGCCCGAAGTCTATGCATAACTACCGCCATTTGGACGATATTTCCATTAATTACAACAAGTATACCCAGTGAAATCATTCTATATGACCTTTAAAAGCAACACCGTGATGTGGAAATGCATTGGTTTATGCAAACACCTTAGTTGCAACTATGAATACTTTACCGATACTCCAGATCCTATATATGGGTATTAAGTGGCTGGCAAAAAAAACTGAAGAACTTTCTGTTGAGTAGACGACTATATTACTAAATAACAAATTATGCAAATGGGCTAACAACATCGGCTGTTTATAACGCAAACTTCAAACATTGCGCGCTTTTGTTCCTAACAGTGGAACCTATCTGTGCGATGGGAGATGCAAATCCATGCCTGTTCCCTGAACTGTGGCAAGTTTTAATAAGACTATGCGCATCAGTGACTTGATATTTGAATTATTTGACACCAAATAATATAGTTTCATTTTCAAGAATCATTTTAACGATGCTTGTAAACTGGTACCTCTCATCTTAAATCCATTATATGAGGACAAGAATCATCGTTATCTAAACTTCAACACTTTGTATACGCTGAAAAATCATATTTTCTTGCCCGTTTGATAACTAACAGGATCTTCCGATGTTTTTAATAGAGTTTAATGTCAGACCCTCTGTACCATTCAGGACTTGGGGATCTTTCAACATACGTCAGTGTGATGATGCCTGCAAACTGGCTTCTCTCGTGTTAAGTCACCAATGTGAGGATGAAACATCTATTCATTTATTTATTTAAAAAGGCCTGTGGGGTCTTGGTGTCTTTTTCGCTAACTTCGGGGAATCTAGCTCATTCCCTTTTCACTACAATGTGTTCTGTGTACATTTGCCCTCATCTGGACGAAAATTCTCTATTGATGTCCCCATACTTGAGGAATGACATAGCCATCCTAGAACGGGTACAGGGAAGGGCTACAAAGAAAGAGATTGGGTTACGGTACAAACCTTACGCAGACAGCTTAGTTGCTGTTAAGCAGCATCCAGTACAATAGCGGAGGAGCAGAGGAGATATGATCTTAATGTACCCCATCGCCTAAAATCCACTTCATTTCGACAGATTCCTTCCAAGCTGCGATCAGAAAGCCAACTCAAGGGTCACCTGTTACGAACAGAGCATAAGGGAGCAGGTAAAAAAATCCGTGCCAACTTGTTCGCACTTAGAGCTTGTAAACTATGGAACACCCTTCCTTCAGCAGTTGCTGCAGCCCCATCCCCTGCTACTTTTAAAAGGCTGTTGGATGCACATCTTGAGTCTTACAGTACCGAAAAGCTGTAATAGAGCATCTTTCCGTCATTTGCACATCAGGCGCAGTAATGTTACCTTCAGACCAGATTAATTATGAATGGATTATCTCCATTCTTTCAGGTTTTTCGGAACCAGGAAGATAATTGTGACCATTCCAAACCCAGAATGTACTCCAGTAAGACAGACGTAGAACCCAAGGAATCGTCGTTCACAAGTTCTACAGCAAAAAGTTTTTAAGTTTCTTTGAGGTTTTGAACGCGCTAGGTTCAAACTAAGCGTTACGTTGATTTGGAGACTGTCGATGGCATACGTGAGTGCTTAGAATTTTAGGCTTTTATTATCCCGAAAAGTCTAGCATTTATTATAGCTAACCAAGGTTAAAGTTGTGCATAAGCTACAGGATCCTGCCTATTAAGCCATAAGTCAAAATAAGTGGGTTACTGGATAGTGTTTTCGCCGTGGAATTGAAATCTACCTTGTTTTTTGGATTATTATGCAGTGTGTTTTAACGTTAGCTGAAAGTAAACGAAAGAAGTGAAAAGGTATTAGCCAGTGTGATCTTTTGAGTACTTAAATTTTGAAACTCGTGTCGATATGAATATATCAATAAGACATCTTAGGTTAGTGATTAGTGTAAAATGAGGAGAGATGAAGCGCACCGACTCCTCAGATGATTTTGAACTATTATTCAGTACCAGCAGGGGATCACTCGTCATGTTAGAGTCGGCGAAAGTATAAATCTTTCGAATGAACAGATGCTGTGTTGAGTATTAAGACTTATAAATAAACCAGAATTTTATACAGGTTTGTTTTCATAAGAATGTTGCATCAAATATTCCTGGTTTTCATCTTGGGCACAATGATCATATGCTCCGTAACTTTTAGCTATCTCGCCGAATAGTTCCTTCTGTGTCGCTAGCGTATTTCTGTTGAGTTAGAAACGTTATAGACGGACCAAGATCACTAAGCTGGTTGTCCCATGACAACAGAATTGTATATAATCACTAGGGTCCTCTAACTGTTTATCAGTTATGATGTCAAGGTAACCAGCTTTCCAACCAAACCATAGCTATTCAAATCAAAACAGCTTGTAGGGAAACCCACAGGTAATTGCTTTCCATATCCGCACCCTCTACCAAGTCAGTCAAGAAACTTCGTTAGCCAAAACTTTGGCATCTCGGGACATGGGTGTGCCCAAGTTTGTGAGTCACTCATGCATTGCCCAAGTGTGATTATTCAGCTAACCTTACCCACTCACCATGGTGAATCCGTAAAATTCACCCTTCGAGTTTCTGGTTATTCGTTGGCATTGTGGATGCAGGCGTAGCATTGACCTTTAAGGCAAGAAATGCACTACTCACTTGCATTCTGGTTGACAGTCATTTATGTGGTGTTCGACTGAACGGGATAGTGAGGACTAAAAATAATAGTAAAGTTCGGCGCTCTCTTTCATATGTGCTTACGCATCCACTGGCAGCCACTGGGTAGAAGTGAAGGATGGGTTCTACCCAAAACTGTCTAGTCTTCTACTGAAAGCCAAGTATTCAGACGTATTTGTCGCAGGTAATTTCAGTGCACAATCGGATATACTGAGTCAAGCAGAGGAGCACATAGGTGTCACTTTCGGAGGCCCATTTGGACGAACAGATAACGGTGATGGCATTCTACAGCTGTGCTCAGACAAACACCTATTTCTGGTCAGCGCGAACTTCAGGTGTGAAGAGAGACATCTTTTGATGTCTCAACGATGGACACAGATAAGCCAAACGGTTACAGCCGGCCAATTAATCTCAGCAGCTCCTTCTAAACTAATGGATGCACGCAAACGCATTTCTGCAGGTTCCAAGGACGTTGAGGAGCGGAAGAGACTCAAATGTAGACCTACCAAAGAAACGCCCGAAAACATCAATTATTAGTTAATATATATTAAACCGAAGATTGGGAGGACAAATACAATAGTTAACAGTTAATTATTAGTTAGACTAGAAGAAAAGAATGGGTCTGTGATTTACTCACAGGAGAGCTGACTAGAACGATTGGGGGAACACTTCGAGGAACAGTTTGACTGGCCAACATCAATTTTAACTCTGCCCTCTATCCTTCCTGATTCTGATTGGAACATTGAGATAGAGCTTCTAAATCCTGCAAGAATTGAGTAGGCTATAGACCGGGAGCGAGTAGAGCACAAAGTTCGGACGGACTGGTACTAGAGATATTTCTGGACGTTGGTGGTGGATTGTTGGTCTAATTGGCTGAACTTCGCTGCTGCAGAGGAGTCATGTATGACCCCATCCTCATCTTCCACTTCACTGCCTCCATCTGATTGGTCTCGCCCACTGATCGCCCCAGTCTTCAAGAAAGATGAGAAATCCTATTGTCACTATAGGGGAGTCAGCCTGACGAACATACCGTCTGAGATTCTAGGCCCCCTTATATCATTAGACGTATGAGTGGAACTCGGGAACGGCAAACTGGAGGAAACCAGACAGACTTCAAACCTGTTTGTGGGTATATCGACTACGTATTCACACTCCACCATGTTATGGAATACAGGCACATTTACCGACACTGGATGTATATCTCGACTTTGTAGACAGAGGTCTTGTGGTGATGCCTGTGACTGAAAGAATTGCCGAGTAAATACATAGCTCCATTGAAGGCTGTGTACTCGAATAGTTGTGGTCGTGTTGGAGCCTATGATGAGTTGTCAGTTAATTTGTGTACGTTTAGTGGTGTCCATCAAGAATGTTCACTCTCGATTCACATTCAGCCTTATCATACATTTTCTTATGGGGTCTCCTTTTCGTCGTTTGACCCCAGGGATTGATCTCATAACAAGAGAAACCTTGGTAGACCTAGAGTACGCAGATGACAGTCCGCCTAAGCGGAAAACCTGACAAGATGCAGTTTTCTTGATCCTTTGAGTTGTGATTCAAGGATTTTTGAGATGTTGCCGCAGGACTGGTCTTCAGTTTGTCTTGTCTAACAATAGGAAGCGAAGTGGTTGAACGCGTTGACTGCTTACCTCGAAAGTCGGATCAGTGACTGACGAAACTTACGCACAGATACTAAGGTCTCGGTCGACTTTCGCCAACTCATACTATTTTTGGTGCCGCTGCGGTACTCATTTGTCTATTTAGAGATGAGTATACTGCACTGCAGTTCTCTCAGTCCTACTATGTGAAAAATAGCCATTGAATGTAGAAGACATGGAAAGGCTTCAGGTGTTCGTCTAACATTGCCTTCATTGCACATGCTATATCGTGGTGTCACCACGTAACACAGAAGTCAGGCGTAGGGTCTTAGGGAGGATAGGAAATCCAGATGATGAGGTTATAAACATTTATCGACGGAGGTGTCTGGGATGTGTTACGCATGCCTGTTGACCGCTTGCCTCGTCCCAAAACTTTATCTCAAGTAGTTTCAGGTTAGAGGTGACCAGACTAAAACATGTCATCAGTCTATAAAGTCTTTGACTGTTGGTGTGAGCCGTGTAGGAAATTGTAGACTTCGGTGGTGCGGCCAACCTAACAACAAAAACGACTGGTTGCAAACTAGGTGACGGCTGAGAATCGGTGTCAGTGGCGCAAGTGTACCCGCACAATAATTTTATCTTAATCGTCAAACTAGATTTCAGTATTCGCCTATCCTTCCTTATCCTATTTTGCTGATTTTCCCTTTGAATGCTTCTTTATTTCTTTATCCCTCATCGTAGTGTTTTGTTGGTTGATGTGGTGACATACGATGTAGCAACTTGGATCGTTACGCAGTAGGTCGTATGTTGTTCTTATCTGTCTATACGGGGGTAAAATGCATTGTTCACTTCATTTACTTGGGGAGTTAAATCAACCGGAATAGAAGTGGGTTGCTGATAGAATCTCAGCGCAGATACAAAAGTTTCATTTTGCATTCGCTAACTTACGTCATTTCTGTCGGTGACATCTGACTACCTATCAAAGGATGGGTATACTACACTGCGGTCCGCTCCACCCTATCATACGACTGACATGCGTGTTGTAAATAGAAAATTCTAAGATATCTTGGGTTTTTCACTACAAATGTTTTCATAGCATTGTTCATGTGTGGTGGAATCACCGTGTGAGGAACGTTGAGGCTGGACGTAGAGCACTAAGGAAGAAAGGTGTCACCTAATGCAGATATGAACTTCCAGGTACTGAGTTGGCGTGGAAATTTTTTGCGTACGATGGATTATCGTGTTTTTTAGCGTGCCACTTAAGCTGATGCAGATGTTGGTTGGGAAGAAGCCAATATTCAAGACAGGGGAAACCCATAAAGCCCCTGATTGTTGCTATTCAAGAGAAACCAAACTAAACTATCTCAGCAATCATGCGCATTTCCATGCACTAGGTAACAAGCTACACCTATCCTGTGGGTACTAGTGGTACTACCTGGTTGCGCAGACCGCGGTAGGTGGAGTTCGGTTGGAATCTGTGACGCATCAGTTGGAAGTCAAGTGCCTAACCAGTGAATCACAGCTCCACAGTCTAGGTGACATAATTAGAGGCAGATGGAAGTGATACAGGTGCATGTTCACTGTCCTCATTTTAAACTTTTTTACTGCATTTCGCTGTTTGCTTCGTTTTCTTTTCTCTTCATTTTAACACTGTCCCGCGACTGCCGATCATCTTATTTCGATTCCTTCATATTTCGTTTCGTTTTCTTTCGTATACGGGTGTGAGGAGTGGTAATATCCAATGGTTACACAGTGACTGAAGATGCTTTGGCAAAAATATGTATGATGCTTTTCTGCTCCCGAACTAATGCTATCAAAGGTGATAAGCTGTGAGTGGGGGTCTTCGTGTACAGGTGTAAACACAAACTGTTGTAGTGAGCTGTTTATTAAAATTACTTGCATGTATCCTAAGATACAGATCTAAAAGGATGAGAACTAATCTGAGAACTAATGTAGTATTGGAATTCTTGATCTCTGGAGTGTTTAAGTAAAAACATTAAAATCAGTTTGTTTCCCATCAAATTTATTGGCTTCCTGCTCGGATGTTACCCTTGTGACACCCCTCACTGTAGGACACTGAGTGTAACGTGCAACTCAGAAACTGTAAGGTTGTGCACTTGATTATATGCCATAAGTATTGTGTGAGGGTTGGTGGTGTCCGTCTCTCCAGACCTCGGTAAACAAAATGGGTCCGGAAATTGTGAACTACTAGCTGAGTATATCACCTATGCCAACAAACCACTGTATTATCACTGTAACATGGTTAACAGGTGTATCAGCCGATTTCTGATGATATATCCTTTCAACTCTGAGTGGATTCGTTTCACGTGTGACTTCATATACTTTTGTCATGATTATATTTTGCTTCATTTCACTTTTCACGAGTGACTTCACCGGGGAAATGTAACTTTCTTTTAAAGTAATTATGGTACGGTTTGCAGTGAAAATATATTTTGAAAACCTAAGTTTTTACAATGATCATATTTTAAATTCCTGTCGGTTAAAATAAGCTAAATAACATTAAATAATCTTACGTTTTCATTGGGTTGCACTTCAGTTATCCATAACCTTTTTGTAAATGATTACCGAATTTTAGTCTCGGCGACTACTCCTATTCGATGAGAAGATAATAGACCTGTTGGATAACGAAAATCAGTTCTCTAAGTTACAGGTAAGTTCTGTCGTGTAAAAAGTTAACAAACAATTCAGGTAGTTATGTTTAGTTGTTGAACTTATAATTCATCAATTAGCAGGCGTATGAAGCTGGTTGTATTGCATGAGCATAACAGAACTTTTACTTTGCTTGAATATTACCGTTATGTTTTATGTATTGTCTCTGGATATCCGAAATTATGATTGGCTTGATATATATCTGGGAAGAAAAGGTTTCTAGATGCTTTACCGTGGTAACCAAAATGCAATCATCTGTAGACAATTTTCATCCTCAGCTGCCTAAAGCAGTTACCGATAAATGGTGTAGATACTCTCTTGTGTCAGCTATCGATTTAAGAGTTTCGACTGCCTCTCAGTGTGCTTTAATTTAACTAGATAGTCCAGTTTGTATAGTTAGCTTCCAAGTATCAGTATGCCACTGTCCTGAGTGATAGCTGCTCTCAACCGATAGCTCATACCTTGACGTGGGGATCGGGCGTGCGTATCACAATAACCCAGCAAGCTGTGCTAGTGAAACGTTTGTTTGCTCGACATCATACCATGTCAGTAAGGTCTTTCGGATAATGATAAGATGAAAAGCGGTTACCATTGTAGTGCAAATGACTACTGTCTGATGGGGGTCTGAAGACGCAGTCGTACTGGTACTAGCTGGATGTGGTGTGACAGCAGTAAGGTGTTTCCCTTGGATAACCAACAGCGCCACGCCGATGCTGTCTTTTTAAAGGGAACAAGGAAAGCCATAGAAGAGGTCTACCTCAAAAATAACACCCCACAGTCTCCCGTTGTCGGCGGTATGGGTTTTTTTTCGAACAACCAAACCTAAAAACAACTCACAACAGGCTGTGTGACAGGCCTCAAGCAGATGTCCCATGGGCTCTGCTGTTACACAAATCGTTTCCTTTCACGTACCTTAAGAAGAAATAAACCTCCATGTAGTGGACGTCTGGGAAGTATCGACCGTCTGCGCGCTTCTAGTTGTACACAAGACCCAACCAAACACAACCTATCCTCCTCAACTCTGTCTCTTCCTTTGTCTTCACCTCCTGATACTCATATTAGGCTTCTTACGCCTTACCCAATTTCTCATTCTGCAACCATTGCCAACGACGAAAGCCATCAAAACTTGGTTCGTAGCCTTCCAATACCCCGCCATCCATTTCATGTAGGAGCTTTCCACGTCCGAAGTCTATGCCGAACCGGACAACAAGCATCGCTAGACAAAACTCTGGGATCTCTAGCTATAGATGTATGCTGTGTTTGTGAGGTTATTAAGTTAAACTCACCTGACCATAGTAGTGAGTTATCGAAATTCACCTTATAAGTATACGGAGACACAATGACTAGCTCTCTTTGACTCTCTGCTGTAGACATATCACTGAGTAGAGTAGAAAGTACACTCCTCGACTGGATACCAGTAAACAACCGTCTGTGAGTTGTTCGACTGAGTGGATCTGTTAGGACTAGGAAAAATCGTGCGACCAACCGACGCCTATTCGTAGTGCCCGCCTACTCACCCAACGACTGCAATTCCGATGAAATGAAGGATGAATTCTATGAGGAGCTGTTAGTTTTGTTACAAAAAGCATAATGTTCGAATGTAATCACTATGTCAGTTGAATTTAACGCTCAGGTAAGGAAACTGAGCCAACTAGAGAGGTATCTGGAAGGTATTTACAGAATGCCATGCTAACGAAGTGACAGCAATGGTTGTCTGTTGATATTTTGTTTCGATAACCACTTGTTTCTGGCCAGCACTAACGTTAGGCATAAGGAGAGACGCTATGTCACATGGCGTCCACTGACTTTAAACCAACGATGGACACAGAGAGATCACATTGCTATAAGCCAACCATAGTTGGAGAGGATCGGTTGAGGATTATCGCCATTTTTGGTGTGTCAGTTACGACTCCAATCACATACAAGTACAGGCTAGTGTATATCTGCACTTTACTTATCGCAAGAAACAGGCAGCAGTGAAGCCTGTCCATGGTAGATTAGAAGATGAGAACATCAAGCCGGAATTTAGGAAAGAGATACCTAAGCATTTATCTGAACATGAGAGCAATGTTCATCCTGAGAAAACCTAGGTTGATATTGAGTCTGGTGTAGAAACAGCGATAAAGTCAATTAGTAACCTACACCTGAAGGTTAGGAAGCATCATTGGATTTCCACTGCATCATCCGAACTGATGATGTGAGAAGACTGATTCCAGGTGTCTGTGACTGAGATGGACAGTGAAAGTAACTCAAACGTAAGTTGACTAAGAGTCAGCATCGATCGCGAGGATTGGTGGGCTATGAATGTGGGAGAGCTGGAGAAGGCATTATCGTTGGTTAGTACTCGGCAACTATTTAGGCCTATTAAGGATACTAGCATAAAGAAGACGATGGTTAGTGAAAACATGACGGATAAGGATGGGACGCTGAAATTTTCTCAGGACTGGTGGGTAGAACACTTTGAAGTACAGTTCAACTGACCAGCAAAGTCGCTTAAGTTGCCTGACATCTTGTCTGGACCTGAATGAGTCATAGATGTTGGTCTTCCAACTTCCCTTGAAGTTGAGAAGACCGTATTGAACCTGGAACTACATAAAGCAGCAGGATTTGACAGTTTTCCACCTGAAAATTTCAAGGATAAAGGCAGGGAATTGCTGATTATGGTGACGTCGTTACTAGGTGCTGTATGGAAAACAGGTAGTGCCGTCAGATTGGTCTATGAGCATCCCAGTCTGTTTGAAGGGGAAGAAGTCTTTTTATGACAACCTCAGAGGCATTAGTGTGACTAGTTTTATGTCGAAGACCCTAGGATCCATAGTTATCCGACACCTAAAGAGTTCGAGAGCAGAATACTCGCGAAAACTAGACAGGTATGAGACCTAGACGAGGTTACATCGATCATAGTTTACCCTCTGACAGGTTCTGGAACACAGGCATCCCTACTGGCCAGTGACCCACACCTGCCATATTTCTTGACCTGAAGGTGGCATTTGACTCCGTCGACTGTGAGGCGGTGACAGTGTCTAGCTGTGAAAAGAGTACCGAGTAGTAAATAGCGCTAATCAAAGCTATCTACTCAAACTCACACAGCCGTCTAAGGGTTTATGAAGAGTTGTCACTTGCATTGTCGACAACTAATTCCCACTGTCACCGTTCCTATTTAAATTCGTCATAGGCATACTAGTATACATAACCTTAGTTACTGCTGACCTACTCCCTGGAGGTCATATGGTTGACTTGGAGTATGCATGTGATTTTGTCCTGCTGGGTAAAGATACTAACAAAATGCAGTTAAGGTCTTCTGAACGCGTTGAGCAGAAATCTGAGTCTGTTCGACATGAGTTTCGCACCTGTCAAGTGTAAGATAATGCTCCAGGAGTGGTCTGCTGCAAATACTTACAGCCTAATGATAGGAAGGGAGGTGGTAGAATGTGTCGACCACTTCACTTACTTGGGGAGTTGCATCAGGTTGAAGGGGCTGGTTACTGACGAAATCTCATCTCGAATACACAAGGCCTGTTTGGCATTCGCCGACTTGCGTTATTTGTGGTGCCGACTATTGAGTTATCCGACTGCCTGTCATAGGATAGGTATGATGCACTGCAGTCCGTTCTATCCTGTTGTAAGCCTGTGAGACATGGCCGTTGGAAGTAGAAAACATGAAGCGGTTAGACGTCTTTGATCACAGGTGTTTTCGTAGCATTGCTGGCGTGCGTGTGGTGGGATCACCGTGTGAGCACTGTTGAAGTCAGTCGATGGCTATTAGACAAGACAGGAAAGTTAATTGATCAGGTTGTGAACCTTCGTCAGTTGAGATGGTTTGGATGTGTGTCGCGCATACAGATGCACGGCCTACCTCGACGTGTCATGCTAGAGGAAGCTGAATTAGGTTGGAAGAGGGTTCAGGTTGACGGCACCAAGACGTGGCACCACTTGATGACGTCCCCAACTGTTGATTCGAGTCATGTGGCGAGACGAAAGAAATCAGTGGTTAAGGACTCTTGATGACAATGCTGACAATCGATCACAATGCACAGAATTTTCATTCCTTGATATCTTCGATAGCTTGAATATTCTTACTAACCATTATTCTTATGTTATTTGTTCTTTCGCACAACTTTATCCAATTTGATATCATTTTTTCTATCCACTTGTCGTGTATACTACTGTGATGCACTTGTAGGCGAGGTTCTACGTTGACTTTGTCAATCGCTGTCTAAGATTACCCCCAACGGGTCGCGAATAGACTCATTTATTGAGGATTTTAAGTAAAAGACACGATAAAGTAGACTTTTTGGATTAAAGAAATGGTTGTTTTGAAATTGGACTATTGATCACTAGCAAGAAGTATTGGTCACCGCATACTGTTCCGTTAATAGTGGTATAGTTCTACATTTCATGAGGATCAAATTCATGCAGTTGATTTGATCCAGTTACTAGTTATTATGTTACCTTATCAATCTCCACTTGCTGTAAGTTGTATATTTCTTTACATAACCTGATATTTGTAACTGTTTTTTCCACTTCATAACCATATTTGTTTTTGCTTTCTTTTATAATATTTCAATAGACTTTCGACATCAACTGCACAACATGTGGTCGTGGTTATTTGTGGTTTGGTGACTCTTATGGTGTGGCACATCGTGTTGATCGTGGTCTACATTCCATTTCATTTCAAGCTCATAAAAACTCTGTACACTTAATCTATCAGATGAAGGAACATGATATACTGCTAACAATCGGTGTAAGCTCTAAGCTGTAACTGAGTTTAGCTGGGATGTACTATTATTTTTGCTAGCCGGATCCAGGAAATGTATGTCATTGGATTCCGGTTCACTGGCTCAGTGGGAACGTGCTGGCCACGGAATCTGAAGGTCCTGGGTTGGATTTCTAGTGAGATCATGGGTGCGCACTGCTGAGAAGTGTCGTACTAGGATGAAACAGCTGTCCAGTGCTCCCAGGTTTCCAATGTTTCTCCACCTGACGTCAGTCTACGATGAACTGTAAACTACAACGTTAAAAGTGTTTTTCAAAGTTGGAACTAAAGACACAATAATTAATCCAACTCACCGTCGTGTAGGTTTATTGACTAGACTAAGAGCAAAACTAGTGGTTTGAGGGATAATGTTACTACTCAGTTGCCCAAGTCAATGTAAGTGGGACGGGGTTCGGAATTGGGACCCATTGTTCAAAAGTAAAGTCCTTAAGCTGATGAACCATTTCTTATTTTAAATTGTATATATCCAACATAGGATAATATCTTGTAGGAAAAAAGGCTTCATAAAATTAGTCTATTTATTTTGTAGGTTGCTTTTTACCTCTTTATCGAATCCACTTCAGCACTATCATCGACTGGACTTCGCTGTTATGTCTTGACGCTAAACACAAACAATATTCCACTTGAAGTTAATACATTGATTCAGTATATATCTTGAAAAATAACACATCTAACCTTTGTATTTACAATCATTAGGAAATTCAGTTACCACCAAGTTTTCCAAACCAAATCTCAACTTGTTTTGTATGTCTATAATAAAGGTGACATACTTTATTCGTGTCATGATAAACTGATCTTAGCGCCTAGCTGTTTCCGCGTACAGAATCAATTAAAGTTAACGAATAAAGTGTGCCTCAAATATAATACTTTCAATACTCTCCAATTAATATTTGAATATGATGTCAGGCAACATCATAGTAAGTTAGTTATCTTGTGTACAAACTAGTTTGTGGTTGTTACACATACTGGGCATGATTTTATCAACTATTTTTTTTAACTACAGCCTATAAAATGTGACTATGTGACAGAAGATTCGAATTTTATGAGGTCAAAGAAAATAAACCACATGTTTAATCTAAATAGTTGTACAGGAGATCCTATAAAATGACAGCCGGTCATATTAATGCTAAACACTTGAGAAGATCGTTTTCACTGTCATTTCTTTCTTCTCGTCTGTAAAATTAGGGAAAAATTAAAATTTAAGCGGATCTTAAAGTTTTTAAAATTGATGTAGAGTGTGTATTGATCACATCTTCGCCCTCTGCTGAAGTCAAGTGATATGGCTGCTAGGATTTTTACTTAGATTTCTATACTGGAAAGTAACATTCGACTCCAATAGATAGAGGGATTTACTGCTTGTTCTATCATTAAATGAGATATTATACTGTCTAATCATGCACCCGTCTACTCGTCAAAATGCTTAGATTCAAACTCGAAATATAGAGGTTCCTACTGTTTCTTCATTTCTATATTCGAAGTGTTGAAGTATACAGTTCATACAGTAGCTATTCGGAAGTATAAAAAGTGAATATCAAAAATCAACATTCTAATACATTTAGTGATTTTTATGCTCATTGTCTTTATAATAGAAGGCTGAAGGGTAAAGACAAAACCCTGATGATTCTATCTGAATATTGAGATTGGCTGAATCAAGCGTAGTCAATATTAGTGATTGGAATTACTGAAGTGTTAATAATAATAATCATTATGATAGTAACAATATGCATGTCATCTACTTTGGAGGTTCACACTTCCCAAATGTTAATACATAAATAAATGAATCTTGTTTTTTGGTTAAACATTTATTTCAGGAGGATAACTCAAAGGAAGTTAATCTAAAAGTTTGGAATCTTAATAAAGTGAGTTGATATTGGTTGTCTATGTATTTTATTCTCTTTTCTAAAACGATATAATTGTGTTGTTTGATTTTTTTGACATAAGAAGACTGACCGACTACTATATTTATCATATTAAACTGAATGTTACATGTATTTCGCAATAGTCGTGCAGCAGACTATCTGACTGGGGTCCCTGAGATGATAGGAACCAGTGATTGGGGAATCTTGATAACATGACTGAAAATCGGTCACAATGAAACATATATGTTCATTCTTTGACGTAACTTATATTTTGACTGTTTTGATAAGTGACTCTAAAGGTTACCTTGACAACCACTGAAATAGCCAATCAGAGTTCTGCATTTTTCGAAAAACTACCTTTTCTGTTGGAATAAAGAGATTTCATTGGTTATTTTGGTCGTTGCTAGAGTAACCTTTAAAATTGCTCATTCCGACTAACCTTAGTTTCTAAATTCCCTTTGTTCTCACACACGTTTCTCTAACTTGATAACAGTCTTTCCTGTTCACTTGTTATTCGTATACTACTGTGAAGTATAGCAACTTGAACCGATCCACTTGTGTGCGAGGTTTTTCGTTGACTGTATCAATCTGTTTAACAGTCGTGCTTTGATTTAGCATCTACACTGCTGGGTGGCATCCTTACTCTGGACGATTGTATGCTGATCAGTGCTTGTTTGAGAGGGGTGGGATATGTTACCTAAGTTTTCGTGGTCTTCTATATGAAATATGGTATCCTCCTATATTTTGCGTATACGGTATGTGAAATAAGTGTTTTCGTCTTGAATGATTACTTCCACTTTTCAATAAGCTGACGTTTTGACATTATGGGGTTTTCATTTAGTATTTAAATTTTCTACTCCACTCAGATTGTTTTCCACTTAAAACAGTTTATGTGTCAATGTGTTGTCAACAGAACACGAGAACCTCATTAAGATACGTCTACACTCCGTTTGTAAAATTACTAGATTTTAAGGATATGCGCTAGGTATGCACTTGGGATTGATTCGACTTCAACACTTACTCATAAATCATACAAAACTGCATATTGGTTTATGAGTATTCAGTCAATATCTTGATGAAAATTGAATCGAATTGAAATACACTTAGAAACTTTATGCACTACAGTAGGGAAAAAGCCACACCTATTGTGTGAGGGCGAATGATACTACCCGGCTACCCAAACCTTGGTAGGTGGAGTGGTATTCAAATCCGTGACCTGCTAGCTGAAAGTCATCTTGATGACGGAATTTTGTCTCTTTATCTATAGGATATATTTGGATATTTGTAGTTTAATTACTGTCTAAGAGTTGTGTTACATCCATTATAAAACCCAGTGTACTTTATCTTTCAGTTTTATAGTAACAAGTCAATCAAATTATTGTATGTATAATTTCAACATCTTGCAGTTCATAATGAATTTCCGCTTAAAATCTATCCATTTTTTTCCTAAGTCTTTGTGTGCATAAAATTAATTGGTTGACTTATTAGCTTTGGGTTGTGTTTTAGACAATTCTTGTTATATACCACGCAACATAACGCCTGCTTGTCGAATTTGTAGTAGTGGCGTTAATGTTTTTAACTCCACTTGTCTACCTTGTAAGATGAGGTAAACTTCGAATGTATCAGTGAGCTAACTGCAAAGTATTTGGAAATACGTACCAGGAGATTATTGAATATCGTCTAACGAGCATTATTTGTATTAATTAAGAAGTTTTTTTTTTACGTGAAAATAGCATCAATAGAATGATGGTTTTATTTTGTTGTTTATTTAGTGGACCAATAAAATGACACCATTTTGTAGTCGAGTTACACCAGTCACTCCCCCCGGATTGCCGCTCAGTCATGTAGGTTGAAATTTTTTCTCCAATAACAAACTAAATACCATTTTATCATAAAGTATTTTAGAAGGCTGTCCTTAATTTTCAACTAGTTTCTTGTTGCTATGATACCTGGTGTGGGATACTTACATCTTGGTTCACGTGTTTTTTCCCGAAATTTCGAAGCATAGCAACTGGTTGAAAAGGGCTCCAAGTATATGCTGTTTCTTATGAAGATTTTGTCATTTTGCACCCTATATCATCTCCCCGCTTGAAATAGAGATTGATAATACAGTGATGTCTTTTGATAGACTGGTAACGTTTGGCCGGATCGTGACAAATTATTCCTTAATACTCTTCTGCTGAATCTGTACTGCGGTATAGTCTGAAGTAACTGAATTGAAGTTGGAAATAAGGGGAATGATTTGCTGATACTTTGAAGAAGGGCAATCGATGAACCTTTTCCTCCCTGTTAAAAAAGTAGACTGATAAATATTTGCAAAAACATCCCTAGTTTTAGATGTGGAATTTCAATATTGCACGGCCTTAATTCTTCAAAAATGCTTTAAGATCACGCCCAGCAGTAGTGTGCATTTAATAGTTGCTTGGCATTTTTAACACTGAAATGCTTACACAAATTCGACAACCTCAACAAACCAAATTCCCTTAGTCTTTTTTAACCAGACAGTGCTGTTTGATTATTTTTGTTCTGTTTGTCAGCAAGCCTAGGATCTTGTGTCCAGTTTGAGTGAAAGTAATCTAGGTATAGCTGGTGTGAAGAATAAGGCACTCCGCATTGCGATGAATCGCCATAGTCAACATCATATTATTCTCTATCCTAATGACTTGTTCCTGATCGCCTGATGCACTGTGAGCAATCTGTAAATCTAAGTGAATTTGGGGTTTTCCAGTTGCCTGGTGCTTAATAGGTGTAATGTCTGAAGTGGAAGTGGCTTGCTGATGATCCTGGTATCCATTTTCTCGAATAAACAGAAATTGTTTTTGATATACTAAACCACTATCATGTAAAGCAAGTATCTCGTTTGATGTGTGTGCAGAGGCTTCAAAGCCCCTTAGGTACCTGCGTAACTGTTGACGTTGGTGATTGGTCTTGCACTAGTACTCTTTGATAACTTTTTGTGGACATTCATCGTAAGGTATAGTTATAGATAGGCTAAATGGCACTAAACATGGTGCACCATTTTGAAAACCTTCTGCAAGTACTTCTTGGTTTTCATGAATATGAACTAACCCAATCTCTGTATCACTTATTATTTCGGAGTCGGTAGTAAAGGGGTTACTATCATCCTTATTCGTCACTGTAACATGAACACTATTATCAGGCTCCTTAAACTCATTTTTATCTTAACCGTGTGCATCATTGAAGCATTTACCGGAAGTCTGTTTCAAAATCTGAGGACATATGGAAGTAGATTCTGCCTGGATATCATCCACCATTTTACTGAATTTCTCAGTGATGCTGCTTCTATTCCTTCATTATAGCGTTATAAAAATACTTGACATTCTTCAACAGAAAGAGTTGCTATTTTTTTTTAACCCGTCGCCACTTTTGTATATCTTTACAGTGACTTGATATAACCTGATTTATGTATGTGTGGACGCGTGTACAATAACTTTAAAATTCCACCTCTTGCTAGTCACTCAATTTCTCCGTAAATAGAAGAGGTGGTAATAGAACATAAGGTATGTTTACAACATCAACAACAACGTCCAACAAGGTTTATGTATATTATAATGGTGTAGGCTATTTCCAGGCCTTTCTAGATTTCAATCCTTATTGATTGTTCCTTTCTTCAACCAACCTGATGCCTCCACGTTGATTCATGTGTTTTTTTCCCGAAATTTCGATGCGAAGTGATTGGGTGAAAAAGGCTTTAAGCATATGCGGTTTTTTATGAAGATTTTGCCAATCTTTCTGCACACTATATCAGTAATCTGTGACTTTTCCTGATGATTGTTACTATCTCAAGAATGTTAGTCAGAAGACCTACACTTTTATACTCAACTCATAAAGCATGAATTACTGCTGCATTCAGCTCTGACCAGTATTCGACTTTATCAAACCTTTTCTGGTCCCGGTAAATACGACATAATGGAGTAGTTGACGGTTAGGAAAAAATCGAAGTATTCTTCATCTATTTTAGTTGATAAGGTTTCAAATGCCATTGTCTGATTCAGCTTTATTTCTTGAAACTGTAAGCCTAACCTCAGAAAAGTCTACATAATATACAGAAACTGAAAATCGATATGTAAATGCTCACTCACCTAGGTTACATGTGGTAGTTAATAAGATAACAACTATAGTTGTTTCTTGTCTATATTCACTATCAATAAAATATTATTGCAAGGAATAGTATTTTAGCTGTTTGATAACCAATAAATGTCAGTTATTCATTTACTTATTTATTGATAATTACCAGGATTAGTTTTTAGATTGTTATGGCTACAATTTGATATCAACCGGGAAAACATTGAAAATTGAAGATCAGTGTTTAATTGTAGTTTTATGTGTTTTCATGGTGAAAATCACCTTCAAACTAATCGTCACCTCTCAAGCTGCTTAATTACTGTCGGTTTTAAATATCTAATGAACAAATAAACTAAGTAGCTAAAACGTGTTCAAAGTTGCAGCATAATGACTTATGTTTTTGGGAGTTAATAATGGGTGTACTTAACAAGTACAAATTGGTCATATAGATAATCAGACCAAGTTGGCATTTGATGGTTTGAAAAAGCTTGGGAACTCGGTACATGATATTCAGTATTTTAGTATTTGTATTTTCCCATGAGTTTAAAACAAAATAAATTTGTTTCAACTCATGTTTCTCTATTTAGTGCTAATAACCTTATCAAAGTTATAGCAAAACCGGAATTCAGAAAATCCAAGCATATATATGATATTTCGATAATGCTATTAGAAGATGAAGATTATCTGGAAAATGTGATGTATTTGCGCAATACATTTCGAACAATCTGATCACACATTTACTTGTCAAGTCAATTTATATATGAAAATTAAAGGTCAAATATAGTGAATATGAAAAGGTTGTGACACTAGTCTTGGTAATATAATCAGATAAGGATTACCAAGGTAAATTAAGTGAAACAACAAATTGTTTTTGTACACACAGTGGGGGATTAAGTTTACGAATGGCTAACGCTTCGGCAAACTTCAGTATGCGCCCCTGATTATTCCTGTATAATATCTTAAACGCTGTTTTCGTATTAACCCTGTGATTCATTTCAATAATATGTTTTGCTATAGATGACGATGGATGTCTGTCACCTGCACTTATCAAAGTTTGTGTGTTAAACTGTTTTTCTAGCCATTTGGGGATGTGTTCACCCACCCTAGTCTGCACTGAACGATTACTCCTCCCTATGTATATGTGCCCACACATACATGTAAATTGGTAAACACAGTGGGATGTGATGTAATCATTTGTGCGAGGTTGAGGTTTGTGGTGAAGCAGGTGTTTTGTCGTCTCAACAATGATAAGCTGAGCTGCATAGTATGTTTTACTGATAACAGATTTTAATCTCTGCTTCAATATCATACTACTTGTTTCCCCTCTGTATGGTACTTTAAGAAATATGCTTTTCTTCGGGACCGAGGAAACTGTAGGCTTTGGGGTCAACTGTTTTTTACAATGGTTGACAAACTGTAATGGATAACCGTTTTCCACTAGAGTGTCTGTCAGAAACTTATTCTCATCATCCATCGTATCAGATGTACAAATACGTTGGATTCTATTGAACAAGCATCTTACCAAGCCTCTCTTATATTTCATCGGACAAAAACTATGGAAATTCAAATACTGTCCTGTCCAAGTAGGCTTCCTATATATTGATCGTCTTATAGATCCATCTTCCCTCCGGCACAAGAGTATATCAAGAAATGCAAGTTGATGGTCTTTTTCTTCCTCACATGTCAGACTGATATGATCTTGTACGGTATTAAGCCTTTTTAACAACCTCTTGGCATCCTCATCTGTGTCACATATTACAAAGATATCATCCACATACCTTCTATAGAGTGTGACATTGGTGATTAGATCTTGAGCCATTAGTTCAGTATGTGACATATATACATCAGCTAATAACGGTCCTAATGGACTCCCCATGGCTACACCATCAATTTGCCGAAAGTGTTCACCTTCGAAAGTGAAATGAACCTTATCAGTACATAATAAAAGCAGTTCTTTCAAATAAGTTGAAGGAATAGGGAAAGAAGGATAATTCGAAGATATGTGGTCGCAAAGAATATTAATTGTCTTCGTTAGAGGCACATTTGTAAACAGAGAGTTAACATCAAAAGAATACATTTTCTTATTTTTAATATTCAAATCAGTAAGATAATCAACAAGTTCAAACGTATCTTTCAGTGAATACTTACATAAATCATTACGAATCGGGCTCAGTAATTCGGCTAACCATCTCGCCAATTTGTGTGTGGGAGACTGACACATTGACAATATTGGGCGTAGTGGATTATCAATTTTGTGAATTTTTGGAAGTCCATATAGATTTGGGAAATTAGATCCCATGGGTTTCAAGGAATTAAACTCCGCTTTAGCAATGACATCCGTGTTAAGGAGTTTAACTAGACTAGTTGTTACTTTTCTTTCTAATTTTCTTATATCCTCTGACGGAACATCTGCCAAGAATTTACTTTTATCACAAAGAATAGACAACATTTTATTTTTGTAGTCTACTTTGTCCATCAACACAACACCTGATCCTTTATCAGGCTTAAGAATTATCACATCAGGATTCCTCTGTAAGTTTTTCAGGGACTTGAAGTGTTGCGTCTCTTATATTTCATCGGACAAAAACTATGGAAATTCAAATACTGTCCTGTCCAAGTAGGCTTCCTATATATTGATCGTCTTATAGATCCATCTTCCCTCCGGCACAAGAGTATATCAAGAAATGCAAGTTGATGGTCTTTTTCTTCCTCACATGTCAGACTGATATGATCTTGTACGGTATTAAGCCTTTTTAAC